TACTTTAGTTTTGATGCAAAAACACATGATCGCACCGGCTCGCCTGGTGCGTTCCAGCCTTTGTTCTGATATTACAGCGCTATAGTTTTGCATCACAAAAACACATAATAAAACATAGGAATTGATAAGATAAAAGGCTATGAAAAATGCTGCAGGAGAGGGATGAGAAAGATAAGTAGAAAAGGCAATCGAACTCAATTCTGACTTGGAAAGACAATTACAAAGTGTTCGGTGCAGGTTCAGGGAATACTTAACTGTTCGGTACAGGTTCAGGGAATACTTAGTTTCCGCAAAAATCACACATATTGCACTGAAAAATATCCTAAGTGCGGTGCAAAATTTTAAATTCTTTGATCGATATTCCTTCCGGTTTTTTGAAACATGATGACAAAGTTTACAAAAATTAGCCAGAGGAGCACCACAGTCGGCTTGATATTGCTTAACTGTTCTGAAAAAAAATATGCCACATCCCCTTTGCATCCTCTGTAAGGGTCCAGGTTTCATTAACTGAAGAAAATATATACCATTGGTTTCAGTTTTTAATATTACCGATACAGCTTCTCTGTTGGCTGGCCAATATCTGTTGTTTGAATAGCGTTTATAATTTTTATTTTCCTTGAACCAGAAACTATAAATTTTTAAAACATTGCGCCAGTGCAATCTGTAATCCGGAACAGGATAATGCAGCTTGTGGACGCATCTCTGTACCATTAAAATTATTACAAAATACCCCGACTTGTGTCCAACTTATCCGAAAAACAAAATTATCATTGCAGCATCGTGATAATGCTCTTGGTAACAGCTTATTTGGTCGGGAATGGCGAAGAAGAATTGCTCGATTCAACCTATCATCGAAATCAACCAGCTACTGTAAGTTTTGCATCGGCCAAATCTTCTTCGCTTTTAAACCTCATATAATCAAATTGCGTCTCGATTTTGTTTTTTCTATAACAAATTCGCATTTTCCACAATTTTCTTACTGGAAACAACCAGAATTTTCTTAATTTTTCTACCCGTTCGCTAATTAAGAACTAACTCTTATATAGTTTTCAGCCTTCGTCTTTCGAAATTAACGAAAGAACGAACTCATTTTTCAATCCCTGGACTTCTTTTTTCACCATAAGAGCTAGTTAATTTATCTTCGAGTGAGCCTCTCGTTCCTTTGCAGCGTTCTTCCGTGAAATTGACTGGTCATTTCCAGCCCCCTCTGCTGTCGAGAAAATATTAGCAAAATTTTGTTGCAGCCACGTGTTACCATTCATAATCCATTGTCGGACAGTGCAATACGAACGAACTACAGAACCGTTACTTCTGCAACTACAGCGACAAAAACCCCGGTTTAACAGTCGAATGGTACTCCAAATTGCCGTTATTTACTTGGAATAACTGCAATAAAGGCGTGGTACCATTGCTGATTAACAGACAGACGAAAATTCATTATTTGCATTTATAGGGATTTATTGCCATGTATAAGTTCATCATTGTCGCAGCATTGCGAAGACGTTGAAGAATCCATGCTGAAAATCCAGGGTAATCTTACTGATAGAGATAATGATAATGATGATAATTCGAACTTTAGTTTTATGAATTCTGATGCCGATACCATTTTCCGATGGTGCAGAAGTCGTAATTATATCGAAAATTTGCCAAAAATTACGAAATTTACAGTTCCGGCACTGCATAACAGGCCGAAAAAACAGTTTCTTGTCTGCCTGGACTTCTCGAACAATTTAATGCATTGGCATTTCACACTCATCAGTCTGTCCGGAAAGACTAAATGGGAGAAGACCTGGATTTGGTCTTCGTATTTGTGAATGAAGTGTTATTCGATGGAAAGTATGGTTTCTGGATAGTTGTTTTTTGGTGCTAAATTTTGTTTTTTTTTTTTTTTAGCTTATAGCAAAATGAGGTGCTAGTGGCCTAAACTGGACCTTCAGACCGTTTTGTAGCCTGCGGTACATTCATATACGAACTGATCATATAGCTCTAGAAGTGAACAAATCTAGAGCTTAAATTTTAAATATGTTGCATGAGTCACCTAGGTCAGCACAACGCTGCGGCAAAATAGAAGAGAAAAATCACCTTGTTTAAAGCGAAACTCATAAAAATGGCATTATTTATTTTATCACTAGTTTTAGATTTTTTCTGTATATTTGAGTATTAATTTTATTTGCCTATTTTTCAAATTTCAGCTCTTTATTCACCAATTTTTTATTATTCCGCCATCATAATTTATTCATATTTCTTAACCCTTATTTATTTTATGTTTTTTATATTTTCACATTTTCATAAGCACTTTTCTCTTTGCTGCTATTAAAATAGTTTCATTCCCATACGGCGAATTTTACATTTTTTTGACTCATTTTGCGCATCTTTGGCAAATTTAGCATTTTCATTATCTGTATTTTTTGTCCCCCCATCTGAGCCCTATACCTATTCAGAAATATGTAGTACTTCTGTGCCAAAGTTTTGTAGTCTTTGGACTAATTTTCATCATCCTAGACTCTGTATTGCACCTCTCCAATTTATAGCTAAATTTCGAGAATTTTTCGATGAATTTTGCTCTTTTTTATTAGAACTTTGCATCCTTCTAGCAAATCTTTTGGTTCGTCTGGCCAAATGTCGAGCCTTTCGTTTCAGTGTCTCTTCGCTTTAGCTAGATTCGTGAATTTTTTAACTCAGTTAAGTTAGGCTGTGTAAAAAGGCCACCACATTTGATCAAAGCGGATAACATTTTCCCAACTTACCCTAACGGAACGTTGGGAAAATGTCTGCTTTTTTTCTCATGTAATGCTTTGGTAGTTTTTGCCGATCGGCCAACGGACCTCGTTCATCGGGCGACCAATTTTTTCAGCCGTCCGTACGTTATCTAATGTATCTAATGTAATCCAAGGGTGGGGGGGGGGGGGGGGGGGGGGGGA